CTTCCTAGCTGGAAGGCTGTGGGAAGCTGACCTGCTGCAAACTGTGATTCAGAGTAGGTTTGCCTGTTAGCCTGCATTCTGCGTTGATGCCTCTACAGCAAGGGCAGAGCCCAAGGAAAATCCACCAGTTTGCAGGTAAGGAATTCTCTTCAAACTGTGCAAAGCAGAGCCTTTTCCGGCCTCAGCTCATGCAGTGACTATGGCATTTTTGCAGGATGCTGGCAGAGCGTCCAGAGATCGTAGCCCACTGACACCCACCTTCTGTTTAACAGAAGCTTAGATAGAAAAATGTAAGGGCAAAACCAGCAGAAATAACATCTCAAACAATCTGCTGATTTCTCAGCCATGTCATTTCCAATACAGGCCCTGCACTGGGACGACTAGTTTAAACACTTCTGCTCTAGCTTCATTATTGCATTTGCTGTCAGGTAATTAGCATAGCTCTTCCAGGCTGGTGACACAGGGGTGTTCCCTGATCCAGGGACTGGGTTCCCACAGCATTAAGACATGATGATGCTTGTATTGCTGCCTTGCAAAAACGAGTTGCATCATGATGCAAGACTCATAATCTCACATCTCTAGGCCCTTTACAGCACAAGGGCTGGGTTCAGTTGTGGATGCTTATGGTACACTCTGAACTTTCACTTAGGCCTCTTGACTGTCCTAATTAACTTGGGCTCTAATAGAAGATCCTTGCTGAGCTCAAAGACATTCAGTGTCAGCATTTCTCAGCTCGCTGTAGTCAAACCGAATGGTCTAAACATGTATTTTCTATATCCTCACTGTTGTTATTTCTGCACTGTAGGGACTCCCTCCACAATGGGTAGAGCTGCTATATTATCTTTTGTGGGACCTTCTGAACTCCAAGTCTCACCCAATACATTTATTCTGGGTCGTCCATCCTTAAAAACATTGTGAAATCACCTTTGCTGAACCCTTTATGTTGTGGTCCATCTCCAGAGCATCCTTACCAAATCCACCTCCTTGTGCCCAGGTCATCAGTTCTTGTACTATTCCATAGTCTCCTTGGACCTCTTTTTAACATTTTTTCCTATGTAAAGATGATTTTAATGCTCGTACTGTCATGCAGTGAAACACCTCCCTTAACTTCCCTTGCCTTTGCTGGTGTCTGCACTAGTGCTTTCTTTTGCCCTCAGCATGGGCATTTTAACCCAGGCCGAACGTGGATGACTGTGGTATTTGCATTCCAGCTATTGGAACTCTCTCTGTAATTTCCATTTGCTTAATTCTCACTAAATTGTAGTGTGGGTCCGCTCTTAAATAGTTGTTAGATCTCATCCCAGAGGCACCCAAACTACCTTTCAGGGTGAAAGGTATATTATAACTGCAACAAGCTGTTAAGAGTTAGCAATCACTTTTGAGCAAGTAATAGTTTGCGAAACTCCTTTGGGACCCATCTTAATTAAAAAGTACTACAAAAGCATACTATTGTTATCATGACCTTACAGCCATCACATAAAATTTTATCCTGTTACCTTTCTTCTCAAAACGCCTTGTGTTTGGAAGTGTCTATGTGGCCATGAAGTCTGCTCTTCTCAAAAAAAACTCGCTCCAGCCCCTCTCTATGATTTCACTCACATTCTTGTCACAAGAACGTCCTGACATTTAGGGTTGAGGAGGGAAACAAGACCTCCCATTGCTCAGGAAATGTACTTTTTACTTTTCTAACAATTAATGCCATCTGGATGCAGCTCTGTGGCTCACGGAAACAACTTGTACTACAGTGTAATTTCTCACATTGGTTAATGCGGTGCGTCTGGATCTAAAATGCTCCCTGCAAAGACAGTTGCACACCTTTGTGTCTTGATGCAGAGGACATCTCACAGTGTGTATGAGAGTGGAAAAAAGCAGTAATTCCTCCACTGTCCTGAAAATGGGAAAACTATAGGATCAGTCTCATGCCTTTACTTTCTTGAGCAGTAGTAGCGTGAATTTTCTCATCTTGATACCCATATGGTTCTCTGATGATCCTGTACTGCAAAACCCTTCCATGTCTGCTCTGAACGTGTAGAATATGAGTTCTTAACTGCATTCACCTGAGTATTGAAGGCTGTCAGGGTAAATGGAGAATATTATTTAGAGGGCTGGTGCTCTCCTAACTCTTAAAAAAACAAGGACAATTACAATGACAATGTGAAGATGCAGCTCTTTTGGCACTGAGTTACTTTCGAGTACGTTTGACTTTTGTGTTCCCCCGTTCTTCTGTTTTATAAGGCAATAAAACAACTATCAAATTGTTTTCCCTCTATAAATAGAGGTTTTTTAAATTGGAACAGCTAGAGTCAATGGCTCTCAGACGCAGCTGTGCTTAATTCAAGCTATAGAGGATGTTCAGACACTACTGTGGTACCAAGACAAGAGCCCTGATGGGCTGATTCCCTCGGCCTGAGCTGGCTGACAGTTTGTTGCCTGCTCTTCGTCACACCATGCTGTTTTCTACTCCTTGAATGGAGAATTGAAAAGTTTTTGAAATTCCCACCCCGAGGACAACTACAATCACAAGAGAAGACCCAGGTTTTTGTGTTGTATTATGTTCCTGGATGGGCAGCAAAGCAGTGGGAATACACCTTGTGCTTTAAATTAGTTGCTGTGAGAGTGGATCTATCCACCCATCATCTCCCATACCACTAACTGTTGGTCTGAATGTAAGTGTTTTGTGGTAATACAGCCATTCGCCCCAGGATCCCACACGAACAGCAGGTTTTCAGAACTTTTCTAACACGACACAGCTCAGTTGTGGAATACAGGTAATTTCTGCCAACTGCGTAATCCCTAAACAGCTCTGGGGGTAAGTGTCCCATAGCCAGATTGCCTGCAGTTATAGCTGTGCAGTGACTAACCTGTGCACACACGAAGCACAGAAAGATCTTGAAATGCGTAAGCAAAGGCTTTGTCATGATCTGTCGGGCAGGGACATGGTGAATATGAACGACCAGGGGAGGGGTTGCCCAGAGTTAATGGCGCAGGGCATCACAAAACAGCCGGGTCCCGGTCTGATCCAGAGACACAGCATGCACACCAACCAGCACGTTACACCGGTGCACGGCTGCCCGGCCCGCCACGGGCTCCAGTTCTGTGAGCTGCCTTGCATGCTATTGCCTGGTCTGAGCTTCACTGGGAAGCCAGTGCAAAACAAAATGCAAATGAATCCCAGTGAAGTTGCTGATCTAAGCCAAGCATGGTTGACTACGCCTCCTCCCTCCTCCTTTTGTGTTTTTTATTTTTTCCAAGCATTCCCCAGCTTCATCATAACATGAAAGCTCTCAATTCAGAGCAAATTAATCCACAATCCTGTCTAAACAGAATTCCTGCCGGAGGCATCGTCCTCTTGTTGCAACACTCGTCAAACGTCATTCCGTAATTACATGAAAACTGTTATTGCTGCAGAGGCACTCCCTGGGATGGGCCCTTCACTGCATACACAGCTGAATTTTGAAACAGGCCTCTTCCCCCTCCAGCTAATGACTCTAATGTGATTAAAAGCGGCACCATGACGGTACCCTGCTAGGTGGGTGCTTCTTTGCTGAGGGAGCTGAATCTCTTGACCCAGCCAGAAGCTCTGGGATCCTGCCCAGTGTCAGCACATGATCTCCATTTCAAGCAGTGCCAGGAACCTGTACCTCCCAGCTATTATTGTCCGGGGCCAAATGCATAAGTGGAAGCACAGCGCCTCTCTGAAGGAGGCCACCCTCAACCCCCCATTCATGAGACTCCCCTCTTCTCACAGGCTGAGCTTTCACTGCAGAAAGAGCAGCTGCAGCTGAAGATCATCGAGGTAGAAGATGAAATGGATAAGTGGCAGAAGGAGAGGGACCGGATCAAGGTGTGTATGAGATATTCTTTTAAGTTCCCTTCCCTCTTTCTCCTCTACTCATCACTTTCCTTTCTTTTCCACTCTGACATACCCAGCTCTTACTCACTCCATCCCTTACCCAGTCTCACTCTCCAAAGCTCACTCCTGTGAAATGTTGGAAACAACAACTCCTACTGAAGTCATTTTGCAACATACCCTGCAGGAGATCAAGAAGAGGCAGCACAGCCTTGTCACAAAATGATCCAAGGCACCTCCCTGCCTTGGGCCCCTTCAACCACCAGTAGCCAGGCTGATTCGGAAATAAAGGTGTGCTGCTTTTTATCCTGCTATTCAACACACAAAATTAAGCTCCAGAAAAGCTCTGGATTGCCCAGAGATGAGACAACAGGAACAGATACATAATCATCTTGTTTATAGTGGAACAGCTTATTTCCATACTGACATAGGGCGCCTTTGTAATTCTTTCACCAGGCTAAGGGTTAGAATCTAGTAATAGTGTTATTTTTTTAATTTATACCCTAACTGAATAGAGCAGTGAAAACACCATTTGGAGACACCCAAGGAAATTTGCATAATATTAATAGGCAAAGCCATTCTTCTGCCTTTTATGTGGTACACACACATTGGCTTGCTGGTTCTGCTCTTTGTCTGCTTTATTATTACTATTATTACTATTGTTATTATTATTGGAAATCTGACCTAGAAATTTTACCTCTGAATAGAGTTACATCCACAGCCCTTCTGAGGAGTATTTCAGAGCTATCTAGAGGTCAGGTTTGTAAAAATTGTATCAGCACCTTTCATCCTTTGAAATGATTTGATCCTCAAATTCTTTAGGAGCCAGAACCATGATTTAAAAGGTTTAAAAGAGCGTTTTTAAATATCACCTAAGAGTGCAGTTCGTGAACTGAAATAGAAGATACGCTCTTATAATGAGGAAGACAGCATGCTCTATAGATTACACACAATTATTGCAAGAACAAGTATTACTTCTTTTGGTACAACTTCTCTGGTGCTAAGACTTACATACCTGAAGTCCCCATAGTCACAGCCTAAATGCTGAGGATTCTTGCACATACCCCCTCTGTATCCCGCTATTAGCAAGTGACTCCCCGAGAAGTTTAATATTTTATTTCTCCTGTGTCTTTCCTGCTGCCTCCTCTCTCTGCCCCTTCCCTCCGCAGAACTACACCACCAATGAGAAAGCCACAGTGGACCAGCATTTCAAAGAGCTGATCCGTGACCTGGAGAGGCAGAGGGATGAAGTGAAGGCTGCCCTGGACCAGAGGGAAAAGATTGCATCAGAGAATGTGAAGGAAATTGTGGATGAGCTAGAAGAGAGGGCAAAGCTCCTGCGGGAGGACAAGGAGAACAGGGAGCAGATCCACCAGATCAGTGACTCTGTGCTCTTCCTGCAGGTAACTGAGATCTTATTTTCCTTTCCTTTTTTTCACATGAGAACAGGATTTGTCCCAAAACCAAATCCCAGGTTGGTGTAAGAGGTGTTAAATCTTCTCCAGTTCAATGCACACACGTGGCAGGAACAGACCCTGACGTTTGAAGCTGTCTCTGCTCCGTTACGTGAAGGATGAACTTGGACATGCCAGCGTCTGTTGTTGTTGTAGACTGCTAAAGCTCATGGGCAGAACATTTGCCTGCCCCCTCTGTCTGCACTGTTCTCCTTTGCACTTCATGGTATTTGGACCCTAGCACTAGCCAATTCCCTAGGATCCAGCCTCCATCTCTCATGTTGCTCAGTAACGTCTCCCTCCTTCTTTTTGGCAGGAGTTTGGGGCTTTGATGCGGAATTACGTACCCCCTCCATCTCTCCCGACATACAGTGTGCTGCTTGAAGGGGAGAGCATGAGTCCATCTATGGGACTCCTCAGAGATGACCTCCTAAACGTCTGCATGAGGCACGTGGAGAAGATCTGCAAGGCAGACCTCGGCCGCAACTTCATAGAGAGGAACCACATGGAGAATGGTAGAGTATCGGAGAGCTGCCCCTTTCCTCCCTCCTTCCCCGGGCAAAGCCTAGCTCAGAGTCAGAGATGAAGTGCAATGAGTGTGCTTCTACATGGAAGACTGCACAGCCATACTAAGGCAGCTCAGTGGCTCACTAGGTAAATTGAGAAGGCAGTGGCAGAAATGTGAATGTGGCCGCCCCAGTGTGGCAATTTTGAAATCCTGTCATTAGTGTATTTGTACAGCTCAGTTAGCACATTTGCTGTGCTGGTATGACACGCTGTTTTACAACAGCCTGTTTCAGCCACCGCTTGCCTGGGTGGAACGTGAAATCCCCGCAAGCAACTGTCACGGAAAATCTAATAACAGATTTTCCAAGTAGAAAGGTCCTCGTTTTGTTGTTCAGGTTAAGCTGCGACTTGAACTGGCATAACTCTCTGTGATCACACTTCTCTGCATGTAGGGTGAGCTTTGTTTCCCACCTGCCCTGTTCAAGGGACATGCGATGCCAAATGGTCCCCACACTTCAGTGGAGTTTAAGGATGAACTTATGTGAACAGAGAGGTCATGGTCAATACCAAAGCACTGCAAGGAATCTTCCAAGTTTTAGAACCCACTGACTTTCTGTGTCTCCCAATTAGCTCTACACAAAGGACTAGTCTTGCATCAAGCTCACACATAAGATTAGGAAGACAGGGCACTAAAATGGGACTCCACAGCCAAGGGCCACTTCTCAGTTCTCTGACAAACAGTGTTTGTGACCTTGGGCAAGTTACTTAATGCCATGAAATGACTCCATGCATTAAGAGTAATAGAGATCAGAATTAATAATTATCTCAGGAGGGTGCTATAAGGATATAATCCATTAATAACTGTGAAACCCCAGATACCGGAGCAATAAAGGTCAAGAAGCTAGATAGGTAACATGAGGATAAATTGCACCCTGCTGCTCAGGAGGACGTGTGGCTCAAAAAGATGCAGGAATAACCTCAAGTCCAGTTCATAAAACACAAGCAGCTGAGGAAGTCTGCTGCAAATCTGCAAGATCACTGTTATTTCATTCAAATTCACAGTACTCACTAGACATTCCTCCCATATTAATACACCACCTTTGTTCCTGGGCAGCAGCCATGCAAATCACTCCAACTTCCTTCCAGAAAAGACAGATACACATTAGAAGATGATATGATAAAGGAGAAAGAGAAGAAACAGCCAAAAAACCCCACGCAAACCCCCAAACCAAAAACCCAGACAAAAAGCAGCCTGGTGAAAAGAGGCACAGAGGCCAGAACAACATGGCTTCAGTTATTTGTCAACATGCTAATATTTTTCAGAGCCTGGGTTTTGTGAATCAGCCTGTGTGGCATTTACAATCTAGAGCAGTAAGAATGAAGGTGTCATGGGACCAGAGTACATTTAATGAGAATCACCAGTATTCATCAAATGACAGTCTGCTGCCTTCCTACATTATGGAGATAAAAAGTTCCTGTCCCCAAGGTGCCTGCACTGCAAACAGTTCATTAATGTTTATCTGGCATCATCATTCTCTGTTAGACCTGAATTAGATAGACCGGATACTTCTAGTCCAGAGAACCAACCTTTCTGAAACATCAGGAATCACATTCAAAGTGCTCATGATGCATAGCTAGACTGTCCCTGCCCTCAAAGTAGTACCAGAAGTTGAACATTACCTGTCTTGCTAACACTGCAGTGTACCTGGTCAGATTCTCAACACTCCACATGCCAGGGTTCGCTGCGAAATTTGGCTATAACTTAATAGAAGTAGATGATAGGCAGCTCACATCCAAAAATCACTGTTGTACTTTTGTCTTTCTTCTCCTTTGCTTGCCCAGTGATTTGCAGAATTTCAAAAGTCTGGATGGCGTCATGCCAAAGGAGTTTTAAATGCCTGACTACTCACAGCACTTCTGAAAGTGAGATGAGTACCATAAAAGCACTTTGCATTCCAGTTACCATTACTTACTAAGTTACCTTCCATCTGCTGAGCTGTTTTTTTGCCAGTCCTGAAGCAAATACATTTTACTTGGCCATTTGTACAACCCAACAAGAGTATGCGTATGTTCAGTTCTAGTAGCTCTGGATAAAGACTGACTACATCTTGATCACTTGATCACTCGATCACTCTTTATTTGGGTCCCCTCCATGTTACTGATGCCAGAAGTCCTCAGTGGTACTTGAAATCCATGGGATTCAAGTGTCAAAACATTTCTGAGCAGGGCAACAATTACCTACTGCCAGAAACCTGGGCACTTTCAGAAACTTTACTGGGGATTTAATGGACACAGCTTGGTGTCTGCTTAATGAGAAGAACAGTGGTATCCACGCAGTTGGGAAATGCTATTTAAGGTGAGTCTCAGAAACTTCAGAGCTCTCCGTTTTTCAGACCACAGTTACACTTGAAAGGGGACAGCACTATGCATCTAGTGACTGCAAGGAAATAACTCCACAATTACTTAATGGATTTAATTAACTTGGACTCCCCCTGAGTCATCGCAACAAGTTCATTGCAACCAGCTTGATCTTCTGGTGTAGAAAACTTCCCAGGAAGAAATATTATATTAATGGAACGAAACCTGCTTAATAGCAGACTCCAAAGGGAATCCACTTTCTTTTAGTCGTCATAACAGGTACCTACTTAGCAGTGTGTCAGAGACAAATAATCAGAGAGCATCCAGGGAGTTTAAATAACACAGAAATAAACTGGAGAAATAACATAAAAGTTTGTTCAGTGACTTAACAACCAAAGAATGGAACTATTTAAATATGGGAGCCAAATTGTTGTTTTCCCTTGCAGAGAACAACAGGTTTATTTAACACTTGAGGCCTTAAAAGAAAGTCTCTATCAGCAACTGTACTGATAGAGCATCATTTCCTGTGGATCAGTGTTGGAAAACCAACACCAGGCTGTGCCAGAGCTGGCAAAAGGGTGGGTTTCCTCCACTGTGCATGAAGCCTGAACCACGCGCCCTGGTCCAAGAGCCCAGGAAGTTAGAGCTGTTTGCAACTCAGGTTTAGCATCCTTCTTTACAATGGAACAAACCAACACTGGCTTTCTTCAGCTTTGTAATACTTGCAGTTCAAGATCTGCTGGTGGAAAGCCACCTCTGTGCACGGGTTAAACACACAAAAGAAGCCACACAAACCACTGCTTTTGAAGTGGGATACATTTTTAGCCACACAGCAGTATTTTGGTAGGAAAATGCCTCAGCCCTCAAGTCTCCCTGTGGATTTCCAGAAGATAACATATCTCCTGAATGGCCAAATGCTTCAGCTGTGCTGTGCCTCCAAGGGAGCTTTCTCTTTTTTGATCCCAGGCTGAACCTCTGGGTAGCTACAGCACTGCTCTACCTCCCAGCCAAAGAGTCTCACAGGAATGACAAACACCGAGGAACTTGTTTTCAAAGGGCAGAACTGTCTCTCCTGCAGCACCTGAGGAAGCAATTCCAGTCTGTTATCCCTTTCCCCCTCCTCCTGTCCCTCTCAAGGCCACTAAACTGCCTCCTCCAGCTCACACCCTGCTCTGCTTCCCCAGGTGACCACCGGTACATGATGAACAACTATGAGTGGAACCAGCCTGACAACTTGAAGAGATTTTCCATGTTCCTGTCTCCCAAAGGTACAGCATCCTAATGGTGATCATACTTCTTCCAAACACAGCATAGGAAAGGAACTTCATTAATTATTTGTCCCAAAATTTGCCTTCCCTCATCTTTCCCACCATCTTACAGAGCTTTGAGAAGTTTTTGCCTTTTCATCTCAAACAAGGCAGCTAAGGTTCTCAACTCCATGGAGGAGAGCTGGAGCAACTGAACTCTTTCAAGGCTGTAGTTGGTGAATATAGGGGAGTTTTTATATGTGTTACCAGGTTGCAGTAAGTGTTATTCTCCACTAGAAGGTTACCCCACTGTGCTACCAAGTGTGAAAGCTACACTAGGCTTGCTCTGCATTAGGAATTTACTGTCACCAGAAAACATACTTCTTCCTTACAGGGAAAGGAAAGAAGAGATGAGGAATGTGTCCTAAAAAAGGAGGAGTCTGGGGTTCTTTTCTGAGCTCTGTCACTGACAACAAGAGCCCTGATGATTTGCTTGTGTCCCAATTGTTACATGAGGACTACAGGATGAGTCTTTGGAGTGAATGACTGTTTTCAACACATTCAGCTGTAAAATGACAGTTGTCTTTTTCTAAATTAGTGCCAGAACCGACCTCCAGAGAAGCAGAGCGTGCTAAAAGCCTAGGCGAAGCAATGCCTGCAGAAACAGAAGAACAGAAATGGTAGCACAAAACAAGTAACCAAATTTCCTCCAGTCTCTAGAGAGCAAGGCCCTGCCTGGATTTGCCAGGTGTTTACAGCTGCTGTTCTGCAAGGCCAGATGGTGGGCAGGGTGAAGGGATATGCCAGCAATTAGCAGTGGCACTCCCCTGAAGGCATATTTGAAGTGCGATGCTGCCTGTTCTGTCGTTAGGGTTTCATGGGGATAACCCAGATCCCAACACTGAGCCCTTTGTCTGGATTTCCACTTTGCCCTTCTCCTCTCTTACCAGCCCACGCCTGGCAGCTCGCTGGCAGCCCTGCCTGGCGCCGTGGGCACGACCCTGCCGTTCGGAGCAGAGGCAACGAACGTTCCCAGTTCAGCGTTTGCAAGCCTTTAGCAGGACTGTTTCCTGCAGGACCCCCATGTTATGGGGGTGCAGCATCTTCATCAGAGGCTGCATTTCGCCAGTGGTGGGTTCATTCTGCAGAGACTCTGCCCCAGCTGCTTCAGGGCTGTTCAGAGGAACACAGCAGATTAATGCCATTCTGCCATCACCGCTCCCGTGTGTGTCTGGGACAGGGCTGAAACCTGGTGTGGCAAAAGGACTATTTGCAGCAGTGCCATAGCACAGCATAGCCTGGCTGCTCACTGCTCTGGACCGCAGTGCCTGGACTTCTCTCTGCTCCTCTCCGGAGGATCAGCTCCTGAGGCCTGAGCAGGGCCTCCCTGGCTCCCAGCTGGGAGCATCCCAGCCTCCTGAAGGATGTGCCAAGAGACACAGGGATCAATAGAGACTGCTAGATACAGGGTTTCTTATTTAGTGCTGTTTATTGGAGCCAGTGGGGACACTTTTAGCATAAGGGTTGTACAGCAGCTTGCAGTTCAGTGACCCACTGCTTCCTGCAATGGACTTTTGAATATCCAAATACTGGGGCAGTGTTTGTTCCACCTACACATCTAAGTTTCCCTGAGAGCACAGGCATGTTGCCTTCCAAAGCTACTCATTGTAGATTTTCTACCATCTGAGTTACTTTGTCCAAAAAACCTAAGCACATGATTGCACACGCGGTCTCTGCTGAAATGGGGATTGAACAGCAGTGGATTCTCCACCTGGGTGAGGGCTCAAGCATGATCCCTTACGGGAATGCGTTGACAGAAAGGAACCAGCTGCTGAAACCACACTGATGGGGACTTTGGGAACGGAATGAATCAGCAGGCAAAACAGCAGACATGACCCACTTTGCGTGCATGCTGGCTAGCAAAGGATTATCCAATGAATAATGCAGTATACCCATAACCATTTAACTCTCTAGAGCTTTCTGTGCTCTATCCATGTAGCATGTAGAAGTCCAGCACTGCCCCAGTTGCATCTTTTCTAAAGAATTCCATAAAATGGGAGGGGAAAAAAGAAAGGACCACCCTTTGCACTGCATAATATGCACAGAATCCTTGAATATCTCATGGTAATTTTGCAATACACCTTTTTCTCATGAGGTTGGATCAAATTCTGCCTGAGGCCACAGCAGCAAGTATTCGCTGCATTGAGGTGTATTACCAAGTAGTGCCCTGCGCTAATTGCAGTAGCCCATACTAAGAAACTGCTTGGATTCGAGCTGAACCTATAGATTTTTAAGCCCTGCTTAAATTCAAGGAGCTTTCTGCTGCTCGTGTCATTAAAGACAGTACCACAGAGCATCTGCCTGCAGGGATGAAGTAATAAGGCAAAGGGGAGACATTGAAGGTTTCAAATGCTGCCTAAAATATAGAGGAACAATCTGTTCAACTGCTCAACACTCCTTTCTGTCCTTTTCCACTGAGCTGTCGCCTCCTGATGTTGCAAACACTATGGCCAAAGCCAGGAGGAGGTTGGAAAGATCATCTTGTGCTTCTGGATGTCTCTGAATAAAGAGTAGAAGGGACTCGGGCACACAGAGAGGGAGAAACAGCTGCTTAAATAGAAAAGCGGTCCACAGGATGGCAGCATAACAGCTCAAAGCATTCATCTCTTGCTCTTCTGGGAGTCCGATGTCTCACTAAAGGGGTACAACAGCAGTAGTCTGCATCCCAGCACGGTGTCCTAGTGAAACCCTGGAGCACATGCCTGTCACATTGGCTGAGACAATGTGTGCTTGAGCAAGAAATGCTCCTCTACTTGTGTCTCTTGAGCTCTAAATCCAAGCCTCTGCCTCCAGGTCTCTTTACAGAATAGTCATGTTGTGTAGACAAACCTGAGTTGGCAATTTAATGTCGCTAAAGACAGCTCTGCGGCAGTAAGAGAGCTTTGTTCTCTAAATGAGAAGCCTATTCACCACTCCCTGGAACCCAGGGAAAAAGGATCAGGCTTTCCTCTACTCCCTGGACCCAGATTTCTGGTTTGGAGCTGCTTCCAAATTGGTGGGGACTGTTTCATAGAGCAATGCCAGGCATAGGCCTTTGAGCCAGCTCATCAGGAGCCGACTGCTGAACTGGATGCTCTTGTTTTACAGCCAGTTTCAACCCACGATCATGGGAATTTTCCTCCTTCCAAGCGACTGAGGAAACACTTGGTACGGGTAATTCCGACTTCAGTTTGAAAGGATCTAACCCCCCGTGCCACAGCTTTCTGGCTGGCTAACCAACCTTCTCTGCTTCCCCTCTCAGCTGTGCTGTCACCTGTCAATCACTCACAGAACCATCTCTTAGCTGAGTTATCAGTGCTGTCTGCATACACCCAAACCCAGGGGCTCACTGCTCTAGGCACTATGTATACAAGAGGGAAAGGCATCCCTAGTTATCATTGTTCAGTGAAAGAAGAAGATGGAAAACACAGGTACCAATTTGTAAAGACCCTGAGATACCTAACCACTGCAGTCGTCGAGTGCCAGCATCTTCCAAGGCAATCTGTGGAGGCTGTGGCAGAACCAGGAGTGGACTCCAAATACCCTCAGCCAGGTTCAGAAGCAAAAGGCTGCTCTTCTCCAGTAAAATAGCTTTTATACATAGAGCTTTTACTTAGCAACTAAGTTCTCAAAGATGTTGAGAACTGTTCTGCCCACCATTCACTGTCTATACAGCATCCAGCACAGTGGGGAGGGGGTGCTTTGAGCTATTGTACTGAGAACCAGCACCAGTGAGTCACACCTTTTCTTCCCAGATGCCCACTTTTCCTATTCCTCGCCTGTATTTTCTTACCTTGCTTTGTTCATGCTCAGAGGGTCCTGCCTTGCCTTTCATCCACAGGCAGCCTACAAGCACCCATGGCCACTCTACCTGGGGGAGCTCTCGTGACTCACGGCCACACCTAAGTCGTTCCTGCTTTTCATGCCACAGGCAGAGCTGTCTCCCTCTCATCGTCTCTGCTCCCAGATTCATTCTGGCAGCCAGGGCCTGACCCTAAGGAGGCCAGGAGGGAAAGCCTTGCTTTCATTTCTATGGGCTTTGAATAAAGCCTCAACTGCTTGGAGGCTAGGAAGCTTTGGCAGTTACACAGTTTTGCCTTGTTGCTCCAGCTTCTGGAGATGCAGTTTACCTGTGAGGGAGCTGCTGCTCTTCAGTCATACCTGCACTCTGGGTCTCTCAAGAGAAAAGCTCTTCCCTCCCTGCATGGAGCATTGGGATCTCTTCACACTTGCACACTGTGTACACCACAACTGACTGCTCTCATCTGCCTTTTCTTACTAGGAGAAAAGGGGCAAAGCTATTAGTTCCCGTTTCCCCCAAGCTGGTTGAAGTTATTTTTACAGAGTGTGTTTTGAAATGCTTAGCCTTCCCCACTGGAGCACGCAGCACCATGGAATAACACAACCTCTTTATCTTCCAGTAGGCAACGGTACTAAGCTGCCTTTTCAGTTCTCCTCGGTGGGACAGAATCCGCCCGGTGACTTCAGCAAACAATCTGATGGGAGCCTCTTCACTAAGACCGGTACTAGGCATTTAGTTTTCCCCCTTCCTTCTGCCTCTTTTTTAGGTGATAAGACATTTAATCCTGTTCTTGCTCCCCCAGAGAAGGCCTGGAGCAGTCCTACACCTGGCCCCTATCTCCTGCCCTGACTGTTAATCTCTCAGATACAAGCACATGTTTACATGATTGCTGAACCACGGCAACAGGGGTTTATCAAAGAATGCCCAGAAGAATTAAAAAGTTATATCTAGTGAATAGTTGAAAGGGTTTAAAATTTTGTTTGTAATGGGTAGAGGTAAGAATTTTAGATGCATAGGGACCAGGGAAAGACAGATACTAGGAAATTATGTTCATCGTCATTTACCCATTTAGCTTCATCACTGTTTTAAAACAGCTATGGTCCTGAAAGAAAAGTAGCCACTCTGAGCACAACCTTTAAAAAACATCTGCAGTAGCTGCCTGTCCTCCTTCATCCGAACCAGAATCCCCCACTCACCGTCTCATAATCCTCTTTGCACTACCCAGTAGTTCAAGGGCACCAGAGGTGGAATCCAAGAGCATCAGCACCTGCCAAGCAGTCAGGACCGATTGATTTATGAATGGGAGATGGTGGGGAAAGGCCATTGCCTGATAACACTGAAACTGGTTATGATTCAGCAGGGCTGGTATTATTTTTGAATCAGAACAGAGCTGGTGTGGTAGAAGGGGGTTAGGGCTTATCACGCTTGCCAGAGGTACTGTCATTAATTTCTGACATGAAACCCAGGCCTTAGCTCTTTACACTAATTAAATAGCCTATAGTGTTCTTTGCAAGAGTCAGCATGCTTAGTTCGGGACTTGGCCTAAATTTAATTGGACTGATTGCATTCCACCTCTGCATTCCTCAGACATTTTAATTAGACAGACCTTCTTTACTCCCTTTTCCTAACCGATTGGGTGGTGGAATAGGCATCTGTCTGATGGCTGTTGCGTCCCACCCCAGAAATGGCTGCACTTCAATGTTAAGCAATGCAATACTAATTATGTGGCACTTCCAGTCCTGCTACTCATCTTGACGCTCGCAAGGGGAGACGGGGATGGTGACAGGGACTGATCTGTAACAGGCTGTTTTATGTTGTCACAGCTTATCCTTCAATAGTGAGACATCAGTCTGCAAAGGTGACGCCACAGACATGGAAATCCTCTAAGCAGTCTGTATTGGTAAGAAATATACCCTTGGTGTGAAAGCATGTGCACAGCTTCAGCAGAAGAACTACCTGTTCTAGGGATACGTGAGACTTCAGAGACTAGGGCTTGGGTCCTTTGGAGATGGGAAAGTGAAAGCTTCACGTCAACAGCTTCTATTATTTTTTCCTGTGGTTAACTGCATCCACAGAGGGATGCAGATTAACCCTCCCACCTCCACAGCTCTAGGTTGTAGGAATAATCAATACTTCAAAATGACATTTTGAAAAGATTTTGCCCTAGTCTAAACTTGATCCAGGCCTCTAGAAGCTATACAAAGAGTACAGCACACATGTGGCTGTCTGTGCTGCTTTTCCTCCCTGCAGGGATATCATATACTCTCAGTAGTCTGTGGAATCTAGAAAGCATAGGTTGCATAAATGACACCTAAGACAATCACAGAAAAGTCTCTTGCTAATTACATCCTATTGTGGGCAGGTGCAATAGGAAAGATGAAGGATAAATCACTAGAACATCTGTAAGTCATTCATTTTGTGCTGTTAGAGCAAAACAGGTAATAGTGCATTATAAGGGGCAGAGGACAGTGATATTTTAGGTCTTGTAAGCTTAAATATACAAGGGTAACAAACAGTTAATGCATAACCACAGAAACACTAAGTTAATCTATTTTTCTTAACATCCATTCACACTGTGCTGCATTAAGATCTTGCATGATCTGAATTAAGATTGTCAAGCTTTTGCCCCCGTCTCCGTAGATGAAATCTATTTTTTGAATTCTGATTATACATCTGTGAAAGATTATTTACTGTTCCCTGGAAATAAGACTTGTAAGAAGGAGGGGGTCAAGAATTGAGAGCATTCCAATACCGAAGGAAGAAAACAGAGAAAATACAACAGTTAGAAAGTAGCTGCCTGAGGATGTTTCTTGTTAGACTGTATCACTTTCAGAAAATCCAGCCTTGAGTCTCTGAATGTGCTGCAGCAAAACATACCTCTCTGGAACAGCAAAGTTTTGCAATATCTTCTCTGTCTTGTGTTTGACCACTGCCTTTCTAAAAGATCATCTAGTTCATCATGTGTGTGCCCAGATGGAGACTCTTCCCAGTGATTTTTAGGTACCAACCTGTCCTCCCTAACGGTGGTGTTATACTGGGGAAGTCTGGTGAGGAAAGGGAAGTCTCTGTTGGCACTGGTGGATGTGTTTATGCTCTTCCCAGCAATAAGCACCCCACTGCACAACAGTCAGCGTGCTGTGCTCCACGAACACAACCCATGGTCTCCTCAGTCCCCATAGAGAAATCCTGGGTACCTTCTTCCATGTGAAGTCATCAGTCTTTTCCTGTCTCCCTTTCTCTCTCATACATATACTTGTAGCCGCTATTTTATTTTTATAGCCTATATTCACCAGATAGCCTGAACCTTACAATTGAATTGATAAATATAAGCATTAAAGAGTCCCAAAATAGAAATACACGCTTCGGACTGCAGTAGCTCTGCAGGAGCTTTTATGGTCTATTGGGCCAATAATCTAGCTCTTAAAATAGTCTTAAATATGTATTTAAGTAATACACATTCTAAAAGCCCTGTAAATATGATTTTTTCTGCACAAAAGACTATACTGTTTAAGGAGGAATGTCTTTTTAACCGACAGGGAGTTCTTTAAAATGAAGCCCCCCTCTTCCATCTCTTAATTATATTGAAAATTAAAGCCATAAAACGAAACGGATTTCAACAAAAGGGAACATTGAGCAGGAGATATTGGAAGTCAGCAGTGAGCAGCAAAGAAGGGCTGGGTTTGCTCTGCCCATGCTTCCAGCCTCCTGCCGTGCCTGATATTAACTAGCGCGCTGCACAAAAACGTACCAGCGTGTTCCTGTGAGCTTCTCCCACCTTCTGCTAGAGAGATCTGGGCAGTGGATCAAACCTGAGACAGATCAGACATTACAAAACCACAGTTGTCCCTGATTGCCCTGGTCACTGCTTCATTGGTGTAACCATATTCTTATCCAGGCTCAAGATTTTGCCCTGAACAGTGCAACCAGCTATCACAATCAATAAGTCGGCTCAGCCAGAGAGCACAAATAAATGCCATGTGACTTAGTTGATCACTCGCATAACTGTGCATGGCTTTAAAGTGTGAAAATTCCCATGTGTTCCCAGGTTAGTGAGCAATTAAAAGGCACTGACAGAAGTATAAAAATAAAGGTGACATTCCTCTACTTCCAGAAACCTCTCATCAAACCATGAGTCACAGTCTGAGATTTTACATGATGCACAGACTCATTTGGCTCAGGAATGAAGTCCATGCAAAGTGTGTGTGTAAATCAAAAAGCAACACTATTTGCATTCGATCACTCCAGCACCTCCAGTAGTGAAATGAGGCGGTGTTGCTCTGCAAGAGGAAAGGCTGAAGGTGTTAAGATAGGAGTACGTTAAGATGTGTATGGTTGGGCTACCTAGGAGGGTGAAGTATAGGCCATCAGAAAAAGAAGGTAGGTCAAACTCACATGCCCCAAATTCTCCATTGCAGTCACATTACCGCCCCTTTTACGTCAACAAAGGCAATGGAGCCACTTCCAACGAGGCACCTTGATTCCTGAAGATTTAGGGAAGAGCTGGCAGCACTTGGAGTGAAGACTCAGCTGCGGATTTTCATGGATGTACCTGCTACTGTATTAACCTTACTGCTCTAATCTCTGCCAGGGAGAGGGAAGGTGCAGAAGGGAATAGCCTTTACTAGAGGAAACAAGGACTTTTTCCAAATCACCTAATCGCCTTGAAAGCTCTGCAGGCCTTAACAATGTAACCCCATCCTCTGCTGTCACTCCCTTATTCCTTCTCTGTCAATGCCCTTCCTTTTGCCTCTGCAGAGCGAGCTGCTCTGCTTCTCCTGGAAGCATGCATGCTTGGGAAGCACGCTGCCCCCCTCTGCTATACCAGTTGTCCCCTTGTCCCGAGTGTGTTTATATGACCATAGCTAATAGTCCTGGTGAAAGGTCTGAAGCTGGGGGTGGGGACACAAGGATATTCCTGGAACAGAAAGCCCCCACTGACAGGCTAAAGCCCTTCCCGTGCCTTTCTACCCCATCACCCAGCCCTGCCTTGGATGGGGACACACAGCTCTCGCTGGCATCAGCTCTGGTGCTGCCACCTCCCCAGGATCCCTGCAGACCCCCCCAGCCCATGCTGTGGCAACAGCTTCCTCAGGGCCCTTCATCAGCTCAGCTCTGCTCTGCTCCTGCCGGCTTCCAAAAAGCCAGCCAAGAGGACCCATTCAGAGCTGCTACTGCCCACGGCCAGCTACTGGGGGAGGGCAGAGAGGCTTTCAATCCCATTAAAGTACCCCTCCAGCCACCTTTTCAAATTACAAAATAAAAAGAAAATCCATCCTACTAATATAAGATTGATTAGATGCCATAGGTTTTGGGTGGGTTTTTTGTTTTGTTTTGTGGTGGTGGTTTTTTTTTAAAAATTCCTCTAAACCAAAATTGATCTTTGTATTGTGGTTCAGGTGCAATGGTGTTTAGCACCATAGCTTTTTGCTGAGGATAATATTTTTTTGTTTGTCCCCTGGATAGACAAATCACAACAGGACCCGGCTTGCAAACCAGCCAGGGCTGGTTAACTTTTCTGTGATCTCACTGAGATTATTTTCCTTCCCCTTGGACAAAGCTGAGAGGTTAAGTCCATGCTACGCAAAAACCTCCCCAGGTCAGTCAATGGGAGCAGATGGCCCATTGCAGGATCAGAGCCCTCCAACAGTGATAAGCAGCTGCAGAACAGAGAACCAAGACCTGACAGCTACTTTTCATGGTTTGCTCTGTTCAAAAGGTTTTCGGAATGGCTTACTCCACCTTTCCTACCCCCAAATGCTTGCAACACCTTGCTGAGAGAGGTCACACCTACTGCTCCCTCAAATTACTTTCTTGCTAATCCCTGTGCAAAGATACTCGCTGCTTTTTAATCCGACACCTCAGACAAAACTTCTGAGGCTGAAAGTTGGTTGCTCCAGAATACTTGAAATGGCACTTATTTTATTTTATTTTTACCCGATGATCAGAGAAGAAAGTGATAGGGATGGTAAGGAAGGACGTGAAGAAAGGGAAACTGGGATAAAGTTGCTAGGAAATGCACTGAGGGGTTTGAGTATGTGTGTGAAAGGATAAAATAAGCCCCCTCCCCAATCTCACTGTTTGTTTTGCCCCTGAGCAGGCATCCAGTAATCACTTGGGTCCCTTATGGTCCCGTAAAAGCTTTCACTGCCTCTGTTCTATTCTCCAAAATACGGACATGATCCCTCCTCCTCCCCCAAAACTCTGATATTAAAATCCCCCCCCTGTTCCTTGCCCTAAAGAAGGCCTGCTGGGCATCTGCACTGTCCCTTGCCCAGCACACAAATGACCAGCGTGAGGAATCGAGCATCCCCGTCCTCCCGCTGCCCCCTCCCCACCACCTCTGCAGCCTCCCAGCCCTGTTTGCTCCACTTCCCCTCCTTGCTTCGAGGGCCTCCCTCAGACCTTGCACACATGGCTTTTCACACCGGCACACTCCGGAGCTGCTCCCCATTTGAGTTAGACAGGCCTCCCCTTCCAGCTGGTCTACCCCACAGCCCCACCAGAGGAGAGTGGGACAGGGCACAGCTCCAGCCCTGCTCTGCCTCGCAGTCCTGGAGAACTAGCATCGCGGCTTCGAGGTGTATTGTGCATGAACTGTTTTTTTATCGTGTTTGTCTTGATCAGCAAAGCAAGAGGAATTCCACCTCCTCAGACAGGACACGACTGCGCTGATGTAAACGAGGCCCTTCACGTGTGCATCACATACTGCAGAAATAAAGGAGAAAGCTCCATGCCTGACCAAAAACCCTGGGGATAAGGTCTTTCTCTTTGGTGTCGGTATGCTTGTCTGTGAGGTTAAGTCTCTTCAAAATATTCTTCATGTGAGCAAGGGGTTTGGAGAACCTGTTTTCCCAGCTCCTAGAGGCTTGCTTTTCACTGTGTTCTCAGTATTTTTAGTCAAGGTCATGTTAGCTCACAGAAAATTCCCACATCCTTGAAGGTCAAACCCAGCCTGATGGACGCACTTCTAGTACAATACCTTGAGACTGCCCTGCAGATATGCTCAGCTAGGTCAGTTCCCAATCACTGGCGTCACACAAGTCCTTCCCTGCAAGGGCATTTCTAGAAACCGCTCAGCCTGTGGTTGTTCATTATTTCAGTGCCTCTCCCCTACCAGAATTGAACCTTACCAGTTGCCACTGGAGGAAAGCGCTTGCTCACATATGCATAGGCCAAAATCAGCCTGGGAGAGACCAGGCTGTGAGGAGACTGGCTGAGCTGAGGCACTGGTTTGCCCCAGCCTGGACCTGAGTCTCCCCAGGAGGTTCCTTCTGGGGACCATTGGGACACATGAACCCTTCTGGGGATATAAGCCTTTGGTTCTGCATGGCTCAGATTTCTAGCCTATATCTTGGCTTCTCTTGTCTCTGAGGGAGAGAATAAATCCCTTGCGGGCTTCTAAAGATGCAGATTCAAGGCCAGACATATATAGAGGTGGCCCTGACAGCCATTCAAAAGACCAATTGTACACATGAAGCTGTGGGGATAAGAGCAGAGGTCCGCATGGTTTATTCATTTACCCTAGATACACTAAGGCAGGCAGCTTTCCAGAGGATGCCTGGCATATTTCCTCTCCTGGGTACTGGATACCAGCTATTTTTCCCCAGACATTGCCAATAGTCATTCCTGAAGAACGAGGATACTACCAATTCACTTGAGAAGCCAGTAAATCCTTCTTGTTTACCCCACATGGGAGCTACCAAAGAACAGAGCTCAGCTCTTTCCTATCAATTCCACTCACTGCCTCCATTACTGTTATTACTGTGATTAAAAAGCAATCAAAGAGAAATCTTTTTCCTGTCCTGAAATTGCTACAAACATCTCAGTTTCTCCACTTAAGCATGCGAAGAGCAAGTTACAAGCACACTCTTGCACTCCTGACTCTGTGACACTAGAAAAATAAAATAATGGAGCTCATCGCCCGAGCAGTCAGAGGCAGTGAGCAGGACTGGCCGTGCCGGCAGCGTGGGGATGGAGTAATGAACCTCACAGCTGCAGGGCTGCGTCGCGCCTGCTTAGGGAATCCAGTCAGAGCAGCCCCAGACACGCCATAATGAACTTCACAGCCTGGAAGTGCAGTCTGAGCTCAGTGCCGCTGCATGCCTTGCTCAGGCAGACCAGAGGGGTTGGATCTGTGGTCAGGCATCGGCTCTCCATCCCAAGGAGACCCCCTGGGAGTAAGGATGAGGGCAATGGGTCACTCTGATCCCGCCAGCAGTGGCAGAGGACACTTGGAGACCTAAGGCTGGGCTGCCAGAGCAAGGCTCAATGAGAAAAATTACAGTCAGGCTGACTCAGAGGGAAGCAAGCAGCCATGACTCCTCTTTGGAGGGCCAAGACATCAAGTGGTCTTGTCCCTCTTTCACCCCTACCAATTTGTGGTTTCCTGAAAGCTTAGGCTTCTGGCTCCAGTTTCTCAGCACAGACCTCATCCCTGAATCCCCACTGCCAACCAAAGCATCCCCAGCCTCTTCCCTCGCACAGCTTTTCAAAGGCAGCCTGGCACCGGCTCTAAAGCATCCTCGGTGCCGTTCAAGACATCGCCAGGCCGCGGGGGGGGGGCGGGCCTCGTGGGGGGTGCGGGCATCCCCATTCCCGCGGGTACCGCATCCGTGAGTACCGCATCCTCGCACCCGGTCCCGCCCGGCGGCGGCCGGCAGGGGTCAGCGCTCCGCCGCGCTTCAGCGCTGCCGCGGCGCCGCACCGGGGCGGGGAGGGGGTGTCACTGTGTAAGGAGCTGTCTGACCACAACGGCAGCCTTCTGAGGATCAAACCCCGGTGAAAGTGACGGTTTAAAGAACAGCTTTATGCCGAGTTCTCTTCTGGAGTGAAGCATGAGCTGTGCTCGTCCGGGGGAAACATACACAACATGGGAACAGACCCTCGTCTTGGATGTAATTTGGCTGCAATAGTCAGCTAAAAATCAAAGCAGGTAGCTCCAAAAGCTGATCTTTAATAATTCATTCAATCACTTGACTTCTGTCACCAGAGCAAGACAGGCCACTGTCTTATCTTTGTACGTATTAACTATAAATTTTTAAAATGAACAATTCTTCAGGGGCATAAACAAGAATAATAAAACCCAACTGCTTGTGAACCTTTAAATTTCTGCAATATTTTAGTGACATAAATTTGCCACTCTCTTGCACAAAGATAACACAGAAATAATATGACTGAAATTGCTAATTAGCAAGCATAAAATACAGGGATGCGCTCTTAATAAAACTATTGGGATGTTCAATCAAAGACTATGATAGCTTCTGAATTTTCATGGCCAGGAATCTGATCTTTAGACTTACAACTCTTCAGGTTACAGACCTTGAAATGATGTGGCATAACAGACCATTTCCTCCAGACCACACTGGAGCCAATGGGCACAGTGGCACCAGTTTCAGACCATCGAAGGCCAAAATCTGCCTTGGATGTTTAATAAACTTGGGTGCTAGCTTAGGACCTGCCTTCAGGACTTGCTTGGGAA